GTTATTTTGATTTTTGATTGTCTTTACCTATCAGGTGTAAATTTCCAGGCACTCAGTTCATTTTGGGCCTGCTCCAGTTTGTCTTTAGTCTGTTCTAGTTCAGCCTTCATTTTGAGGAAAAACAAGTTGATGGCGGGGTCCACCATGGACGACCGCAGCTGGGCTGCACTCGGCTGCTGGACTTGCTTGAGGTACTGGATCTGGGTCTGCAGGACGAAACAAACGGGCATTACTGACCAGTAAGGCGGCGTATACCACTACTGATGAAGAACTTTTGACTGTTATGAGTACCAGTCCTTTAGCTTTACTGATCTTCAGTCGACGGAGACACATTTCCCCCCAAAATCAGAAGCGCTAAAATGTTCTGGTTCTACGTTTTTAGGATTATTGACAACTTTTCAATCCCGAGCCTCGGGAGAATAAAGTGGGCCCCTAGAGTATACTTAAGATAAGGCCTCTTCAAACAGTATGGTCAATTTTAAACAGCATCTAGAGTCATAGTCATAGCTATTAAGATTCATCCTATATTACACCAAAGCCACTTTAAATCTCTATCAAAAGCTTTTGTTGGATATGAGTTGCTTTCCTGGACACACCCAAAGTAAGACCAGACAAGAAAAACTAACAGTCACAGCTATGATAGAGTTAACAGATCTTATTGGATATATTTACATGAGAGGCAAAGGGCGTAACCAATAAGCCTCAAAGCTAGGAATCTAACCATTATAACTCAGGAAAACAAACCTCTATGTGTGTGTTGTGTTCTCGTCAGAATGGCATGTGCTTCCTTAAAGCCACTGGGTGATCCACTGAGCTGTCAGTCTAAAGATAAGAGCTACAGATGCCCCGCGTGACACTATTTACCTTTAGCCTACATACCATGATAACTGGTGAATAAAAGGCATAGTGTAGAGCTGGAAGTATGTCAATTAATGGATAAGTAAACAGAAAAAATGAGATGATTCAAGATAAAGAACGTGGAGGAATAGATACATACGGTGCATTCTTGCATTTCCTGCTCCTTGGTGGCAAGCCTCATGACCAAGATGTTCTCCCTGCGCGCAGACTCCTGCTGCTGCTGCTGCTTGAGCTTCTCCTCGGACTCCTTCAGCACCGTCACGTCATTGGCTAAGACGGTGAAGGGGTGGGGGGAGAAGAAAAGAAGATCCATCAGGAGACACGTCCACTTCACAAGCAGCCAAATAAAGGGACACAGCGTGCAAAATATAGTGTTTATTGCTGGCTAGAGACATGATGTGTGCAGATGTACTTACAACATAGCTCTGTATATTTGGCCTCCAGGACCTGGACATACGCTTCATGCTGTTTCCACCTGAGAGGAGCAGGACAAGTGTAAACATTACCAGCTCAACCTAAATAGATCAAGCCCCCCCCCCCCCCCCACACACACACACAGAATAATAAAGCTGCAGGTGTGGAGCTGTCATCTACCTCGTGCACAACTCCTCTCTGGTCAGGGTCTTCATGTCAGACTCACTGAGGCGAACCTGTAAGCGAAAACAAACGAGAACTGGTTCAATAAAAGAAGCAATTAAGCTCCTGTTTAGACATGAAGGGACTCGTGACACACATGGTGAATACACTAGGAAAGGACAATCACCTTCTTGGGTAGAGGCTCCTCGTTGGTCATTGTGAACTCTACAAGTATGAGAGAGAAATGGTGATTAAAGCACAGCTTGGTGTCGCGTGTAGAAGCCGCTGCAACATCATTTTTAAAGCAATAACGCGTCGCACTACAATATGACATGTAGGGTAAGTTTGCAAACTTGCGAAGAATGCTTTAGTGTACGAGGAATACATGCAGCTCACGTAAACCACACGGTGGACCGAGTAAAAGTTAACGTTACCGGTCAATAAGAGCTGTCGTGCCCACTGTTAGCTGGTGTGGCAGCAACGATGCCGAGGGACCAGAAATAAGCGAACCGAGGTTAACTCTGCGGTGCTAATAACATTTAGCATTCACGAGCAAATATAAATAAAGGCTGTGAAATTACAACGCGAGGCAACAATATTTCCTTTATGTTCAGCCTGGCAGCATGCAAATATTGGCTCTGTTTTCGGCTCCTTGTTATCACAAAATGGCGGTGAAGGAAACGACTCCCTCCCTTGCGCTCCTTTTCCTGAAACTAGCGGGCTCTTAGCTGCAGATTTTCGGGCCTTCCAAGTCATCGAAGCACATACCCAGGCCCGGTTTCTTTCGACGTTTCTGGATCCCCTCGGCTTCACGGATTCTTCACAAAAGTGGCAAAAATGTGCAAAGTGTGTTTAAAACTAGCTGTGGATTTATGTGTAGTTGGCTCGCTTCTGCGTAATCACCATCATCTTCGTCACTGACGGGAGAACAGTGGCCGAGCTGCTGCACTCGCGTTGCTGCAGAGTACAACCAGAGACCCGGAGAAACACACGGAGCTCTCACTCCGCAGAGGTTACAGAATACAAAACGGGACTGAGGGGGCGAAAAAACGCTCCTCGTACATTAATAAATTCAGAATAAAGTAACAATAAAAATAATGGTTATTTACTTGCAATAAATTAATAGGATATGGTATTTATTCATGCTGTTATTTCTACTTTATTGTAAGTTCCGGTTTGTAATAGCCAAATCAATCACAAATCTACAACACCGTTACTCTGTTGTTTGTTTGTTGTTTGGTTAAATCTTTGCACTACTGTTTAGTTAGTTAATTTAATATTATTCTATTTCATTGTACATATTGTTTACCCGTACCATAATTGCTGGTTATTGGATTAGTAAAGTAACTATCTATCTATCTCTATCTAATGTATGGTTCTCTTCATACATGAGCATGGTTGAAAGCTGTGTACATGAGAGCTGAAACAATTACTTGATTCATTAATAACAACTGTATATCTTGAGAATCAATGAGTCTAGTTCCAGCCTCTTAATTGTAAATATTTGCTTGTTTTCTTAGTTTATTATCATAATACATTTAATGTCTTTTGATTTTAGACTGTTTATTGGACGAAACAAGCCATTTAACGACATCCTTGAGCCCTGGGAAAATGTGACTGATTTTTCTACAGTTTTAAATGATATTTTATAAGCTACATCTATAATACTAACAGTCTTTGTGTAGTGTATTGTGCTGGGCTGGGATTCTAAATACATTTTTTTAGTTTATCATCAATTATGAGTTGAGGCTTCCCTTTCCCTGGTGTTCACTGATTTTTGAATGATAACATTTGTGTTGTATTGTTAGTGTGAGACATTTATGAATGAGATGTGAGGAGGTCTGGGCATCCTGCTTTTATTTTGGCGTTCGAGCAGGCCAGCAGAAAATTGTTGCGTGACAACATTAACTTATTGGTCCATAATATGAAAGTCTGTAGTCCAGATGCATTCTTAGGTAGTTATTCTGTCTTTGTGGACCCACCAATCAAAGATACTGAGGTGTCGTTGTTTTCCTCTGAGTGATTCATTTGTCTTAATATAGACGATCTCTGGCGTTGCCTCCGCTGTGGGAGAAGATGCGTTCAGTGATCCTGTTAGTTTTGATAATTGTGCTAAATTGTGCAAATTATTTACAATTATGATGGCTGTATTTCATTTTATTATGTATAATTTATTTACTCTGACATTGTATGTTCCAAAACTGAAACAGAATATAAGTTACAGACACGTAGAGTAGTTATATAACTAAATAAGCACTTTTTTGCATGAGGTATCTCCATAATCTATTATGGTTAGATTCATTCAGAAATACCATATTTTCATCCCACATGTTATCATATATAGACTATCAATATTTCTGAGAGGAGAGTTGGCTTCAGTTGAGGTTTATGTCACTCCTGCGCACTGCCCTCAACACCCCCACGTGAAGATAATGGTACGGTCGGCTGCGCTGTCAAGTTGAAATAGCTCATTTCAAGGGCAGTTACTAATTTGTCTGCTCTGTCCTGTGAGCTCTATCATGACCATGCTGTGCAGAGTTGGACAAGTTCGCAGGTAAAACTGATACCAATCTACTATTAAGTGTCCTTTTCCTGCTCAACGAGCGCAAGGAGTTAGGACTCATGCTAGCAGCGATGGTTCCTGAATTTGAGACGGTTGTTTATTCAGAGCTAACATGCAGCTAGCCTGGATGCTAACTTGGTTTAGCTGCTCAGTGAGGCTTGTGGCGCACACAATGAAGGATTTTGACTTGTTGCATAGTACTGTACTCGCATGTCATGGATTGATAATTTAATGCTATTATATTTGGACACTCTTTGTTATAAAGAGCTAACCTGGTGCCATCAGCTCATAGGTTAGTTAACTTACCTTGATCTACAATCAACACCTGACTATCAGGCTTGTCGAGCTCTTAGACCTGACTGTGCCAGGCTATCTTGGGCTAATACTTTAATCAGACAGGCACCACTGTCAGCTTAGTTATTATTGTACCTCTGTATATTTGGAAAGATATAATTGCTAAAGGGGAGCACCACTTGCATTAAGAATCCCAAAATGTTTGTTTTGGAAAGTCCAATCAGTAGCTAATTGAGAACACAAGATACTTTTACTCAAAGTCGGTCTCAAACTTTTGTTGCTTTTTAAGTATAAAGTTTGAAGCTCCTCCATGGACCATTATTGGGAGACTGATTTTGTGGACCCACAGAATGTTTTTAGCGCTCTAGTTTTTGAATTTCAGAGAGTCTAGTTACCCTTTTTAAAATCAGTCATGTGCCAATTTCCCTTTCATGTCGGCTCCTCTAAACCAGACTAACGGCTCTATTTTAGTTCCAAAGTTTGGTAAGTTTGTCCTCTGCTTTTTGTCAGGTGTGCAGCCAGCCTCAGCCAAACTATAAGCCAGGTAGCTGCATCGAGGCAGAAGCACACGCTCCCTGACCTGACCTACGACTATGGTGCCCTGGAGCCCCACATCAATGCAGAGATCATGCAGCTGCACCACAGCAAGCATCACGCCACATATGTGAACAACCTCAACGTTACAGAGGAGAAATATCAGCAGGCACTAGCAAAGGGTACGCAACGCAAACTCAACACTAATCAGTACATTGCTTTTGTATAAGAAAGAATGAACTACATATACATCTCAAGGTGTCTTTGTAGTTCTATCCACATCAGTCACATTTAACAGATGCGTCTCTGTATTTAAGTGCATGTATTTGACTTGTATTTTAGGAGATGTGACGGCTCAGATTGCCCTCCAGCCTGCTCTGAAGTTCAACGGTGGAGGCCACATAAATCACACTATTTTCTGGACGAACCTCTCCCCAAATGGTGGCGGCGAACCACAAGGTAAGGCTTTTAAAACTCCCAACAGCTCGTCGTCTCATTTTTCCTAAACTGCTTTATTTTGTAGTTAACGTAAACCTGCACACGTGACTCTGTAATATGAAAGGCTTGCTAGTAGTGCTGGACCCACTGAGTGAACAGCCAACAGAGCCTAAAGCTGCAGAGGTGCACTCTGTGCAGCTTTAAGCTCATTGTTTTCAGTTTATAACCCCTTACAAACACTGTGTGCTTGGCTGTGGGAATCTCTACATTGTGTTACACTTTGGTGGTTTCCTTTTATCATTCTGCCCCCTAGTGGTCAAAGAAGCTGCCTAGTTGGGTTATGTGGAGACGTCCTTTAGTGCGGCTGGCCTCAAATTAAATTGTGCTTTTTTTCATTATTGTTTTTTAAGAATGGTATGAGGCTGACGCAGCATCTCTCTTCCAGATGATACAGAATATGCGTGCAGGCAAAAGGTCTATAAACTGTGTCAAATTAAGTTTCCTGAAAATGCTTTTTGAGTTAGCCTTTTGCTTTTAGAAGTAGCATCCGTCTGTCTCTTCCTTGTAGGGGAGCTGCTGGAGGCCATTAAGCGGGACTTTGGCTCCTTGCAGAAGATGAAGGAGAAGATGTCTGCTGCTACAGTGGCAGTGCAGGGCTCTGGCTGGGGCTGGCTGGGCTACGACAAGGAGAGCGGAAGACTTCGTATCGCTGCTTGTGCTAACCAGGACCCCCTGCATGGGACTACAGGTCTGTTGAAAACAACTTTGATTGGCTTTGTGTCATAAGTGCCTGATCTTTACCTCCAGTGTCTCTGACCCTCAGGTCTCATCCCCCTCCTCGGTATCGACGTATGGGAGCATGCCTACTACCTTCAGTACAAAAATGTGCGGCCGGACTACGTTAAGGCCATCTGGAATGTCGTCAACTGGGAGAATGTGAGCGAGCGTCTCCAGTCGGCCAAAAAGTAGAACCCGATCTTCAAATGGTCCCTTTTCATCCTGACCTGAGTAAAATAGTAGTTTCAATTAATGTTCAGTTTTCCATTGCATGGAGCACTTGAGCTGTGGGGTTTTCTGTATTCAGATTGTAAACAGCCTTTCATATGATCAGCTACATTAAAGTTGATTTAAATTAACTTTAAAATACTTCCTACGTCGGTCCAGATAATGTTGCCTTCGTGGCAAACTTAAAGCCCTGCACTCGCACAGTTTAGAGCAAACTTAGAAAATGATTTGCAAGTGCTTCTTGTCTCAGGTCTGTTCCTGACTACTTCTTCTTTAAAGCGCACAAACTGGCCTCCTTTCACATCAAGGCCGGCTACTGTTAATCTCAACCAAATATTGGCTCCCATTCATGTGAACTAGGTGTCCGTTAACCAGAGTGCACATTCAGTGAGTTTCGTCACACTAAAATCAGATGATGTTATTGCAAGTATGCTTTTGATGTATTATAATAAAGATATATTTCAATTGTACAGGCTTGATAATTGGGGCTTTATTCTTCTATTTCTATGTACTGTGATGGATAAAACACTAAGATTATCTTTAGAGCTGTTAATGGAGACTCATTAATGTCAGAAGGGTGACATAGAAAATAAAACATGGTTGTTGTCGTCGCAGCGCTGACCAGTATAGACGATATAGCAACAATGATCACTGTTGGCTGTTAAACTGGGATCAATTTAAAAATAATAAAACTAAACTACAGACTTTGGATGCAAGCATCAGTGCTTTTGATGCTTTTTTTTTTTGCTACATAATGGATATAAAAAATTAGGTTTTCCACTACTTTTTTCAGATGTTTCTCCAGGACGTCAATTTGGTTTCAGTCCAATCAAAAAAAAAAAAAAAAAAACACCACGTGCTCGCTGAGAAACCACAGCCCTGCTGATAAAGTCAACTCTTTATGAGGTGTGTGTGCACACTTGTTTGGAGAACATTCAACACTATCTAGCAAAGATGGCTTAAACCTCATGAACCTGTCTGAGCTGAAACATCAGACTTGAATAAATAGTTTCTGGTCACATAGTTCATCCTGTATGATCCGCCCTGCTTCCCTGCAGTGTTGCCAAAAGAGGGCAGTGTATCCCAAGTTATTCTGCTGTAGATGATCTGAACAACACATTAAGTTGTATGCACACTTTTCTCAGCAAAAAAAACTTTATCAAGTGCATTAAAATGATGAATATATAAGTTGTATGTCGTGCCACTGGGTCGAACAGACTTTCAAAAGATAATCACCTCTTTGTCCATACAACCTACAGTAGATTTCAAAGGGCTTTAGCATTACACCGCGTGTGATTTGAGTTTCATGTTCAAAAAAAAGTAGGCTTCCTTAAAAAATAAAAACTGAACTTTGAAGAAATGGCTTCCAGCTGGTTTGTCTTCGCTCCTCCAAGTGATTAGGACTGACCAGCTTGCCAGTGCCAATTTCAAAGATCTGTTCCTGGAGCTGGTTTCCAGTGGATGCCGGGAGTTAGTTGAAGCGCATGTTGACCGGACTCCAATTGTGAGACTGGAATCGGCACCCTTTTGGTTGTTAGGTTATGTGTCATGATGGTTGGGATTGTCGAACTGAATGAAGTTACTGATCAATAGAAAAATTAGATTTTCGCTTTGCAAATGCACCAGTCTATCACATATTGGTTGCAGCTCGACTCTATTGTTACATGGATGTTGATTGTTGAATCTGACCTGCAAGCCTTTTGGGACTTGCATACTAAAATACTACTCATGTGGCAGAAACCAGCTGCACGACAAGTTGCTTTCATCCAGCTTTTGGAATAAACGACAAAGAATTCCTTCAAATTTACCAGAACCATGAATACAAGTATAGACGAACTTGAGCAGTTTCATTTGGGAGACACTGCCAGCCTTTAAAAACAGAAGTCTGCCCGTTTATAAGACGATGGTTTGTCTAAATGTGGCCTACTTTTGCTCTGTAAAAGTTCAAGTTTGCCAAAAGTGATTTCCCTCTTCCACAACTCGTAAAAAAAAGATGGAACTCACTCGGGATAAAGTTTCTTTAACCTCTGAAAGGGAAGAAAGAAAAATTTTGCGACTGAGTTGAACTCTCACTCTGAAATCTGTCGTTCTTCTTTCTCCCCACTCTGTTTCTGGCGCTCTTTCCTATAAAACTATTTCATGAAACAATCTGACAGTAAAATATATTCAACTTTGTGGTTCATCCCACTTTCAGTCTCCATCAGGCACGTAAGTAATGTCCACAATACTACCTTGTTTTTACACATTTTGGTCAGAAAGAACTTTCAATTGCTACAAAGAAGATTGTTTTGTTTGTATTTCATCAAACACACGGATACACAGTTATTGTGGAAGTATGTGCGTATCACATACTCAATTCTTAAGCTACTGATTCAAGTTATGGCCTAGACACACTGTAAAAGTACTGACAGAGGATGTAAAGCTGGGTGGATGGAGGTAACTCAATAACCAGTAACCAGACGGGTACTTGTACTTCAGGAGGTATGCAGTTAATATGAATAATATCATTTATGAATGTAGCTCCGGTGTAAAAAAAAAAAAGGGATTAAAACAAGTTAGTTCTTAATAAAGTTGGATGAAATTATTCAGTAAAGCAAATAAACTGAATGTAAGAAAAACACGGAAGAGACGCAAGTGAGGAAAAAGAGAGCTAAATGGAGGGAAACAGTTGTAGGTAGTGCCTAGTAGTATGTGTTTTGGTAGCGTGTGTGGCTTTGTGTGACTACGAGTGAATAAGTGAACGAGTGGACTGTGATCATGGACCCAAGCGCTTGATCTAAGGTCAGACGGACTCCACGGTGACCGGGACGGGGGCTCTGGGTCCTCAGATGAAGACACCAGTGGGGCCGTTAAGATGCTGCAGAGAAATCTCTGCAATCTCTTCTCTGCCTCCCTCCCAAACCCTTGCAGCTTTGTCATCACATTTCTCGGCTCCAGACTATTCTCTGCCTTGCGAAGCTGTCCCACAATTGTTCCCTGATGTGAACTGCCTTAGCTGTTTGCTCTACACAAGCTGTCATTGTCCCATTTGGGCTGGAAAGCCAATAGGAAAAGTGAAAGTGTCAACATTAAGGAGGTAAAACTTTCCAGCATTTTGCCGCCCGTTATTCCTGGCAGGGAGGGTGACGGAGCTAAATTCGGGGCACCCGTTTGGGTCCGAGCCCGAGTCTGAGTGCTTTGGAGAGGGAGCTCTCCACCAGGCGCTGAGAGCTAAAGCCAGAAATCTGACTGGGTCTGAGGAGGCAGTGTTTTGTGGGAAACCTTTGATACCTTCAGCCTGACAGGGGGATTGATTCATCATGGCTGCTGATAAAGCATCCTCAAGAGCTTGAATAAAGTATCGGTGTGTACAGTACATGTCATCAGCTCTCTATGACTTGGACTCTTCTGCTCCTGTTAGTGTTTCATTTGATCGTTAACATTTCTACGCCTGAAAATCTCCCTCGGAGAAATAGTGCTGCAGCGAGTATTCTACCGACTATCCCATTAATAAATCAAGTAAAAATACATTTGCTTTATTAAGGAAAAATAACTGATATACAAAAATTTAAAACAAAAAGGACTAATTGGCTTTCTTTTTTTTTTTGAAAAATCTATATTTAACAGTCATATCTACCAGTACTAAACCTATTTAATGCATTTGAGTTTCATCTAACATTCTGGGTTTCAAGGCCCTTGAACCTTTTTCACCGCCGTCCCGAGAAATAAACAAAGAGTTTCTCGAGGGATTGTTTCAGCCCTACTGAGAAAGCCTTTGCTGCAAAGAAAAGAGAAGAAAAGATCGTCTTAACAAGAGGGCGTGGCTGTGTCTGGTTAATTCGTCTCAGTTATGTAACAGTCATTTGCACCAGTGAGTCTAAAGGCTCGTGGACATCATTCAGGCAGAAGAGTGTGATAAATCAATGCAGGCCCGGGATCATTCAGGTTTGTGTGGGATCGATCCAAGCTTGACAAATCCATCACGGACTTTTCTTTTAGAAAAGTGAAATGCTGCCAAATGTAGCTCAAACACAAAAGAGAATTAGCTTTGAAGCTTGAAAGTGAAAAGTTTTATAACAAAGACACCTTGTATGTTGTTTGGAAAACATTTCTTCTGCCTGTATTTTCTCTTTCCATATCCAGAATTTCTGAAGCTGCTGTCTCCATTTCTGTATTATTCATCTTGGCAATTAAGCCTGTTGGATTTTAATTCAATAATCCCATTGGATTCAATCAAGAGAGCGAATAAGTCTTCCCTCATCCTTTGCTGAGAGTCAGCACTCAGCAGATCATCTTTGGCTGGGCGCTCAGGATGTCAGAGGGGAAGAGAATGAAAAGAAATGAAGAGTCTGGAGGATACCCAAAGACTAGAGTACTATAATACAAGAGAGTGCCTTCATGTGCAGCAGACTTGACTTCCTGTCTGGGAAGCAGGCGACACTGCTCCATCGGGTTCAACTGAAAGTGGTCATATTTAAAAGCATATCTCTCCAGGTGGCCTCTTACGACCAGAAAACCTCCATTAAAAACACCTTTCCACCTTCTTTGGCAGGTAGCCACAGAATTGGCTGAGGATGAACAAGCAGAAAATTGAGATTTATTACCATGTGCCATGTGGGTGAAATCTTTGGTACCAGTTCTGCAAAGAGTAAAGCATGCATGAAAGAAAGCTGCAAGATCAAAGAACAGAAGACCTAATCTAATGACCGAGGAACAGATGTGACAATGTGTGAACAAGACAGCATTCTGCATCAAGAGACTGACTTGATTGAATGTGAGCCTAAATGTGTGTGAGAGATGAAATATAACTTTTGACTTAAAAAACACTTGTTTAAATTTCAAGAATATCTTTGGCTTTTCTTTAATTCTTTGTTATCCTTCAGCTGGCATGTACTCCAATATCATTACATCTACAATAAAGTGATATCAGCCAACATATACACATCTAGCTGATGGATTAGTCTCGCACTAATTCATACATAATATTAATAACAACAAATTTAACACAAGTACTTGTATACATTCAGAGAATATAAATCTAAAAAAGGTGTTAAATGTAAGCTTATTTGTGAAATGTATCTTCAATTTTGAGGACAAAAAAGTTTGACGAAAAAACTGGGATCTGTTGAGGTCAAACAATGTTATTTCATCTTTGAAAAAAGTATCCCGATGAAAGTTGCGTGTTCATGAGAGCATATAAGGTTGAACGAGCCATAAACTCAACTAACAGTACCTTTATATGCCAACACATTGAGCTGTGTCTTCAATTTCTTGCCTCTTAACCTTTACCAATACACCGTGGAAAGCTGGCTGTGTTTGCAGCAGCAGACACTTTTTTTTTCCCCCTGGGGAGGTTCTCCTTATAACACATTGGCTGGCTGGAAAACAGTCCCTGAAGCAGATGTGCATGCAGGAGAAATAGGAATACAAAGTGAGTTGAGGCTTACTTTAAATATGCATGTGTCATAAATGGAACCCAGGCATTTGTTCT